AAAAAAAAAAAAGAAAAGCAGAGGAGTGGCAGATTTCAATCAACTGATTTGACTGAAGCAATTGTTGACTGACTCTAATTTATGAAAATGAAGGAGGCTTGACTAATCTATCCATTAAAGTTGACGGAAAATGTAAAAACAAAAACCAAAACCAACGTAACACAGTAGATAATGACCATTATGAACTAAAACATCATACCTGGTTACACTAATCGAAATTATGCATGCTTGACTGTCAAGCAAGTAAATACCTGATGACAAGATGAAGAGCCATTGCTCTCGTTGTAGTCTGTACCCTGACAGCAGGAATGCGAGCTCCACTGCGGACAACAAGCCCGGGCCAGAGGAAGGAGGAGTGGGATGGGGAGAGACACCTCTTCAAATCTGAACCCTAAGATTCCTACTGGAACCTAAGAGGATGCAAAGACTGACCTACATGGAACAGTAGTCTCATTCTTACCGTTAATAACTGGTGTGTAAACCACAATCCCAACCAAGTTTGGGTCGGATACAGTTGTGTCCAGAATGAGGCCACCAATGCTGAAAAATATAAAATTATATAATTTGGAGAGTAAAAAAAAGAGAAATGGACGACCTGAAGTTCTTCTTTAGAGGAAGATACACCTACTTTTAAAAATGAAATGTTTAGGTACTTTAAGAGTAAAAATACAAGACGTTCTAAGTAAAAGTATCAATGAGTAAAAGTATCAATGTTAATAGCAAAACGTTGAAAATGCAACATGACAAACTGTAGCCCCATATTTAATGGCTTTGTGATCTCCTATGCTACTTGTAAGACACAACAACGCATGTCTTTTAAATGTATTAAAAGGTCTAGAAAGGCATACACGAAATCCTTAACTGTGCTATTCGCTCTCCTTGTAAGAAACTCATCTCTTCTTCTGGAAGCCTTTGGGGTTTCATGCTGATGAGCTGATCTCGCTCACTGTGCCAGGCACACAGGGCGCCTTTTCAGTCAGGCCCCGTGGGTTTTAGTTCTGGGAAACGTACCTGTACGGTTTGATCATTTTCACTCCCTCTCATCTGTCCCCCACTGTCCACCTCTTCACTTTTTGTTCTACTTTCCAGGAGAGTGCCTCGATTTTATCTTCCAA